ATCTCTTCTGTGTACTCATTATATTCATTAATTATTGTACCCAGATATTTATATTTTTTAACTTTTTTTATTTGTTCTCCATGTATTGTTATGCTTTCTTGGCGCTGTTGGGCTTTTGTAATTACCATAAATTGTGTCATTTTTGTGTTTGTGTCCGTTTTCTTCACTGACTTCTACCACTCTGTCAACCATTTGTTGTAAATCCTCAAGACATTCCGTTAATAAAATAGTGTCGTGGGCAAACCGTATATTATTGATTGGTCGGCCATTTACTTTTATTCCCATAGTTAGTTCTTCTAGTGCTTCCTGGATTATTTCCTATGAATACAAATTAAACAAAGTAGGAGACAGGACATAGCCCTGCCTCACGCCCCTCACAGGCTTGTCTCCGGCTTCTATATAAAATGTAGCTTCTCCATTTCTTAAATTTTAAAGTGTTTGTTTGTCTTTGTTTAGTGTATTTGTTATGTCCCAATTTACATTTATGACATTCTGTTACTGCTGGATAGGCCACAACTGACGAAATGCCCCTGAGGATGATCTTGTGATCGAAAGTACTTGGGCAAGATTTGATTAACTACTGTGTTCGATATTTGCCTTGTGTACCATCAAAGTTCATTTATTCGAACATTCAACCTTATATTGATTATATAAAGTTTTTATAATATTTTTGAGTTCGTTAACCATATTTTTTATTTAAAATATAAATTTGTTATTAATGCTTAGTGATGCATATAATTGTATTTTTAGGTTTCATCTCAAATCAACCAAAAGCCGAAAGTTTATACTCGCGCATTTTAGTGTACATTATGATTTTTAAATGATTTTTTAATAGCTACCCAATGGCAACCCCTTTAATTTTGATTAATAAATCATAGCTTATTAAAAATGTATTGCACTTTTTTAGATTATGTTTAAATCTTCTGAATAACCTTCTGTATGATCGTTAACCACACCTTCTGACGTCGTTTTTAATCATCATCAGGGCCTTTCATTCCTTTCGAAATTTCTCAATTTTTCTTCATCTTTTTCCGTGAGGCACATTGTTTCAGCTGCGTACGTAACTACTGGTCTGATTGCAACTCTGTATATTTTCAGTTTTGTATTTCTGGATAAGTTCTTGTCCTTCATAAGCCTATGATATCTCCAATATGTTTTATTACCTGCTAGTATTCGTTCCGTTACTTCTTCACTTCTCGTGTTTGACCATTCACTATTACTTCCAAATGTTTATAACCCGACAAGCGAGAGCTGGCGGGTTGCGTGTAGAACAAATTGAAAAGTGGAAGGAAATGCTTATTTCTATTGCAGTCGGATAGGAGTTCACATCGTGTATAACTGTTTAAGTACCTATACTATATACCTATAATCGCGATTAAGTACCTCTCCTATCTCTCTTAGGATAATTCCTTTTTTATTTTTGCGCAGCTCACCCGCCAGCTCTCGCTTGTCGGATTATAAATTGTTGGAATCTTTCAAAAGTGTAGTTTTCTATTTTGATTTCTCTCGTCCTGTTATCTTCTCTTCTTGAGCAGAGTAGATATTTTTTTCCTTCGTAAATTTCTAGACCTCTTTCCCGTGATTCTTTTGCCAGGATTGTAACTGCTTCTTTTAATCTTTCCTTGTCTCTTTTCATAAGAACTAAATCATCTGCATATGCAACTATTTGTGTTGAGGAGTGGGCTATAGTTCCGTTAATTTTGCTGGCCTTGACTGTTCCTTCTACTGCTATGTTGAATAATGTAGTTGACAGGGAATCGCCTTGTCGTACTCCTGTTTCTATTGCAACTGATTTTGTACTACCTTCTTCTGTTGTTACTTTAGCTGGAGCTCCATCCATGGTCATTTTTGTTAATCTGAATAATTTTGCTGGTATATCTTGATTTTTCATTTCAATATATTTCTTTCAATACAGTCAAAGGCTCGTCTGAAGTCTACGAAGAGGATGTGGAGTTCTATGTTGTGTTCGTGGCATTTTTCGATTATTTGTGTAACTATGTGGATCGCATCTGTAGTGGATCGGCCTTCTCTGAATCCTTGCTGTGAATTTTTTTCTCTGTGAATTGAATGAGATTTTGTTTGATGAGGGCTGTTAGAATTTTATATGTTATGCTCAGTAGAGATATTGCCCCATAGTTGGTACAGTTTGTTACTTTTCCTTTCTTAAATATTGGTATAATTCTGCCTGCTTTCCAATCCTCGGGCATTTCTTCTGCTTCCCATATTCTAACTATTTGGTTATAGATGCTTGTTAATAACTATAAAAAAAGTTTAACAATAGGCGGTACTGCAGACTAGCGGGAAGCTTTATACTATGTTTGCTGTATTTTTAAAATTTAAGTAACATTTTTAAAGTTGAATAAAATATTTTTTATATTTTCAACAAATTCAATAAATTATAATGTTTGCTCATAACGCCACCTGTTAACGTATTAACAAAGATATTGTGTTATTATACACAATATCATTTGATAGTAAATTGAATTGTTTTAAATCGGGGAATATTACAAAAAAAATTAAAAAAAAAAATAACCAGATGATTCTTTTAATTATGATATTCTTTTAATTTTTTACTTTTCATTTAATGTCTATAATTTATTAGTTATTTTTCATGCAGTTTTTAATTTAAGCCTGCTTAAATGAATGAAAATTATGACCAACCAACCAGAAGAATTAATAATTACAATTGCACAAACAACTATAGAACAAGTAAAAGAATATGTATATTTGGGACAACTAGTTAAATTAAATAAAGAAAATCAGACCGGAGAAATAAAGAGAAGGATACGGTTGGCTTAGGTATCATTTGAAAAACTTTCCTATATACTAAAAAATAGAAAATACCCCCAATATTTAAAAACAAGAGTCTTCAAACTTGGACGTTTACAAAGAAAAACATGGAAAAAATAGTTCAGCAAATGCTGAACATCAGGCTATCAGACAAGGAAAGAAATACTTGGATCCGTAACAAAACAAAAGTGACCGATGTATCAACGCAGATAGCAAAACTTAAGTGGAAGTTCGCTGGATATACCATAAGACAGAAAGACGGCAGATGGAATAAGATAATTATACACCATATAGTTACAAACGAAACAGAGGAAGGCCACAAATGAGATGGTCAGATGACTTGAAGAAACACGCAGGCCCGACAAACTGCCTACTATAGAGAAACGTGGAAGAAGGAAGAGGAGGCCTATGTCCAAAATTGGACAGCAAGAGCTGTATAGATAGATAGATGGAGTGAATCGATGTAAAGATTCGCTATTTTGTGACGCTACCTGTGACGAAGCCGTCTTGTGGCGCTAATTCCGCGACGCTCACTTCAGCATTTTACTGTAGAGAAAAAAAGTAATACAACGCCAGTATAGAAGCTTCGCTTCAAAAATATTCCTTTTGGTTTGGGGATCGTTAGGTCAGAACTTTTTCATTTGTATGTAACTGATGAGAGGGCTAAAACAAATGGTTAAATTGTACTTCGGCTGACTCAATATCATTCCGAGTTGAATCCCATTGAGAAAATTTTGGCCCAGGTGAAAACTGAAGTGGCATTCAAAAATACAACATTTAAACTGCAATAAATAAAAGAACTTCTGTTACAAGCTCTCGAGAATATAACTACAACACATTGGCAAAATTGTATTAATCACATTCTAAAAGTAGAAGAAGAAATGTGTAAACTAGATGACATCATGGATAGTGTAATAGAACCATTAATAATTTCAATTGGCAATGCTGACATTAATACAAGTTCCTCAGAAGATGAATAAATTGTATCTACAATTTAATTTTAATGTGATTATGATTTATTTGAGTTTAGTTTTAATTATGTCTATGTCTTAATTAACGAAGATGATAAAAAGAAGATAAATCTGGTGATTTGTCTAGTGACCTTATTGAGTGTGAATCTGTCTTTTGAGTTTACTCTTCCTAGTTTAAAAACAGAGTTTAGATATTTTTTGCTTAATACGTTTTTTAATGTTTATTTAATAAAAAATAATTGTTTATAAATTTTATGTATATATTATGTAAATAATACATACCTTTGTTTATTATATAAAAAAGGTAAAAAATGTTATTTTGCAAAAAAGTTCAAACCAATTATTTACTTAATTTAAATTTTAAATACAAAGTTAATTGCATTTTTCAATTTACTTGCTTAAAATCTACACTTTCCCCAATATTCTCCCAGAGTCTCGCTCAATAATCTCTGCGTTTAAAGCTTTGTCAAAGGTTTATTAAAAAAAATATTTTTATGTAGGGACTTAATGGTATTTTTTATTAATTAATTAGTATATTTCTTAATTAGCATATTGATTAATAGTTGCACACGTGCAGGATTAATCCGACGTCCTAAAAAACGTGTCTCACGAAGAAACTGATGTAAATCAAAATTTCATGTGTTAACTACGAACCAATTTTCAATTTTGTTATCTAGAAATGATTATAAATGCGCGTATCTCGTATAAAATATTGTGTTGTGTATTGTAAGCTAAAATTGTTTTTTATTTCAAGAATGTATTAAAAATGAAATAGCTATTTTATTAAAAAAATGCTGGTTTTATAGATTAACTTGATTATAAATTTATTTTAACATCTATTTATAAATCTTTAAATATTGTGATTTTTCTAAAAGCCAGTTTGCTACTTTCCCTTGCTTTATTAATGTAAGGACATACCTGGAATTCCTAAATTACCTGTTATATTTATTTCCTGTTCACTTCAAAGCTACTTTTTATACTTTTTTATTTTTAAAAATGAACTATTTAACAAGTTATACTATACTGATGCAAACAACGATGTCCATCAGTTTCAAGGTTACCAATTTTTGACAAGTAAGATAACACAAAAAATGCATAAACAATATTAAAATATCATTTTTTAATACAAAAAAATGTAAAATAAATTCTTTCAAAAGATTTACATGTATAAATATAAATACTAAACAAATGAACATATTTAATAATTATTAAAAAATAAAAAAAAAAAACATTACTCACCTCCAAATGATTCATTTTAGTAGTATCATCACAGTCTTTTCCACTTGAAGAATCCTTCTCCTGTTCCAAATCCTGAAAAGAAAACACACGACTGGTGAAATCTACCGAAAGATTCAGGAGACGGGACCAAAACATGTTGAAAAATACGTATTCTGTAGTAATATTGTATAAAATGTTTTGTCAAATTCTGTATGTACTCGAGACAGTTCTAACAATATATTTTTTTAAACAGACGGTTAAAAATGTTCAGGCTATCAATAAAGAATGTGAAACAGGTGGTGGAACGAGTTTGTTTTATAACTCTTAGGAATTATTGGAATTTATATAAGTAATGTTGAATGATACTTCTAAGCATTGTTTTTAAAAATATTTTAATAATTTTATTTCATGAACTTTATTTTTTATAATAATAATAAAAAGATTTAGATTATTATTATACATACTCTACCAAATTCTGAAATTTGCAGTAGTAGCACATTCTGGCATTTGCAGTAGATTTATAACCTTGTGGCCGGTCAGAGGGCTTATGGCTAGGGAGGGGGAATTCTCGACCATGAAACGACTCTACTGCTAGGCAGTAAGTTACCCATGGCGAGGGCATGGAAGATAATGGGGGTAACAGTATCAGGAACGGTATAACCAACCTTTCCCGTACTCGTGGGAATTAACTATACACAAAACAAAAAAGAAATCAAGATAAAAGGGAGTCAGAGACCACTGACTCAGACTATTCAGCAACACAAAGGAGAAGAGAACCAGTAACCAGTGATTCAGATTTCTTGACAAAACTCAGAGAGATGCAACCGAGGGAGATTATTCTGGGTTCGTCCCGGGGAGGCTGAAGAGCCATTGGAGGAAAACAGAGGTGCCGCTGCTCATCAATTGCGATACCACAGGACACATAGGGATACATAGGGAATCACGAACAGCTACAAAAGGGGTAAGTCATTAATGGAACAAAATAACTCGACAAATAACTGAAAACATATTAAATGTAGGCAAAAAAACGACTTTTGTAACTAAAACTAAAAAGGAAGTAATAGACATTACAATAGCCTCAAATTTCCTGAGTAATTTTATATCAGAATGGCATGTGCCTTAGGAGGAGAGCTGATCAGACCTTAAGCACATAAGATACATATATCTTAGAGGAGGAAGCAGCAAGAGTCACTTATCGGAACCCACGTTCAACTAACTGGAAGGCTTATAAAAAGTTCTAAACCAGTATCTGTCAAGAGTGTGGAGAACGATATATGACGTCATGGACTTAACATGATCTAAATGACGCTGTCATTAGAGGATTCCAAGAAACCTGCTAACGAAGAGTAGTTTCACCAGGGATACGCCATGGTGTAATAATGTCTTTGTTGAAAAAATTGACGAGAAAGCTATTTAACAAAGCCAAAATACCGGATGAGAATACAAAAACATAATAAAGGAATACTATACAACTTACAACATACTTTATATATAAAGGAGTTGTCAAGAGAGACACATGGAGGAAGCACTGTGAGAAAATTGAAAGCACTCATGCTTGTGCTAGACTTCAAATGGTGTCCTTACGAAGAAAATACAACCAATTAACTCACTCCTAAATGATACGGGCGTTTATACCAATACAGGAACAGATACTGCTGAAGAGTTCTTCCGAGTGCACTTTCTTGGATCACAAATAGTTGAATTACCAATTGACTGGAGATCAACAGGCAACAATGCTTTGCAGAGGTGCTCAAGAACTAACTGGCAGACTGTCAAAAGATTGTAAAAAATAATAAAAAAGTAGGATGGCACTAAACTCATGGGAGCCGTATAAATCCCCAGGAATTGATAATATTTATCCAATGTTATTACAAAAGGGACTAGAACTTTTTGTACTGCAGAATATGCAATGTACTCGATGTACTCAGAAGTAGTAGTAGCTTTCGGGTACATACCTAAAGCATGGAGAGGAATTAAAGTAACTTTCGTTCCTAAACTGAGAACAAGAGAACGGAAAAAGACAGTCTTTAAGACTTTGCCTTTTGAATTCAACAAAAACAGCTCTCCACAAATTCAACGAAAAAGTGGAGAACAAAATTGAAAATAAAGAGGTAATGCTGGAGGACTCTTTGGATATAGACAACGCTTTCAACAACACTTCGATAATATCTCTAATCAATGCCCCCCAGGTATAAAGGAATCGTTTCGTTTCAACGAGGCAGCCATTGGTACAGCAAGCACTTTTTAAATGTGATTTTTACAATGTATAAAGGGGTTTCATCCCTATAGGCCTTTTAATATTTTTTATTGTGTTGACAATAACTCTTCCATGAGGTATTTATAACCTCCTATAAGGCGAAGCCCTAAAGATAGCTTTGACATACTGAAAATACTAAGCTGATTTTAGTAATAAATGTACACACTATTGAGTTTTAAAAGGACATATATATGTTGCCGGATTAACCTATATTTTAGAAGTGTGTACAAGTCATATAATCTTTTTCTAATTTCAGTATAACAATTGATTAAGAAGATCATTTATGAAGTGGCTGTCTGATAATTGGATATGAACAGATGAAAAATATAATACCTTATTCAGGGATCGTATAAACGAGGCCTTAGAATTCGCGAGACAATGTACTCATAGGGTGGGGCTAGAGAGCATTTTCTCTTAAACTGATATCCTATAACATCGACCTTGTATCATCACAATTTTAAATATAATATGATTTTTACGTATTCTAAAGGTTTTTACACTCGGATTGGTGGCTAGTTTCAACTACTCTCAAGATGTTTCAGTGATGATGATCCGAAATCGTTTTAAAGATATATTGATTATTTTGTATAAATTTAAAAAAATATATAAATAAAATATAAGGTATATTTTATTTATAATTTTTAGATATATTAGAAGTCAGAAGTCTATACTTCCTTGTAAGTTTTTTTAGAAAAATAATTATTTGAACTTACATCAACATTATCAAACGAAACTACCCCTGTCGATCTCCTCTTGGGCCTTCTTCTCCTTTGAATAGCTGCTTGTGTGGCTAGAGTTGCTTGAGCATTTCTAATGTCGTTCTCCTTATCTTGATCTGAAACAGTGAAATCGTGACGAGATTATATAGTAGTTACTGTGTTATAACACTTTGTCAAGGTTAGTGGAATAAATGGACAACGTTAAGAAATAAAATTCAGTAAAGTTTAAACAACTCTTACCTTTTTCTTCTACAGATTTGGGTTTTCTTAAAGGCAGTGTAATTGTAGTATCTGCAGTCTCTAGAGGTGCTGAAGACGGTCTTTGGATGGATGCGATGCTCCTACGAATAATCGACGGTGTGTTAGGTGGGTCCGAAGGTTTTGAAGCATCTTCTAACAAGAACTGCAACACGAATTTAATATCATTAATGAATATAACGTAGAGTAGAAAGTAACAGTACCTTGCTAGTACCATTGTCTACCCTCAACCTCCAAGATGGCCGCCTTTCGTGTATTGCGGGTGGTTCCTCGCTTTCACGAGTTGTTATAACTGTGGGAGTACCGGTTGTGATGGTGGCGGTAACTACGATTCCGTTGGGAGAGTCTCCATTTGCTCCAGGCTAAAAAATATAGTTCGAATCATAAAAATATTACTGCCAAAGATGTATTTATTTATTATTTATCATATATTTACTCTGACATTTGAACTGTTAGTGTGGCGGTGCGTTGCCTGCTGACTTGTGACCTCTACCACAAAAGAACGAACCGGAAAATAAAATGGACAAATAATAATAAACAATACTCGTTAGTGAGTAAAGGGAATTATTTGATTTTGGTTGGAAAACTATTCCAACCAAGAAAAAAATTGTTGGAAAGAAATATCAAAGGACATGAGGTACATATACATATAAAGAGCTACGTAGTAATATATTATGAGGTATATTAGAAATTTTAAATAATTTGTTTGTTTTTTAAATTATGTATATTTAAAACATAAAATCAAGAAATAAAGTAGCAAATTTACTTTCCGTGTTTCGCTTTCTACAAATTTCGTGCACTAATTTATTATTACTCTTCTTTTTAGGAAGTTTATTTTGTTGTTCCTCTTCCTCGCACAACAAACTGACAATAATAATTTTTGGATCCATCTTCCATGAAATACGTAAATCAACGGACTTAACTGACGGGATTTTGCCGATAAATGTGCGTTTCGGCATTTAATTACGAGCTGTAGCAGTGCGTTTCGTTGCCAACCTGTTCGGTTAAGCGCGCGTATTTTAATCTGACTCGTCCCACCGTCGATACGATTAACACGACATTTATTCAGTGGTGTATATTCATATTGTTGGTATTATAGCAATCATTTATAATGTATGAATAACGCCTCTACAGATGTTTTGTCCTTTTAAGGCAACACAAATCGATTATTAAAAATCAAGCACGGAAGATTCTTTAATGTTAATCCATTAACAGCCAAAGGTGCGTCTACGCACCCATTTAATTTTTATTTTGTTTTACATACTGCTAAGATACTTAGTACTCTGACGAGTATTCACAAATATTCTAGCATGTCTGTTTTATCTTTATAACCATATTTACCTGATTTTAGATAAAAATTATTGTTTTACAATTTGTGAAACTAAGACGACTTTTCAACTGCTTGACAACATCATGAAGACAATAATTTTTATCCACTTTTTGACCCAACGAAGATATATGTTATGATAATATAGCTTCAAAATACTATTACGCTTCACTCTAAACTGCATAGTTTGATGAAACTTGGCTTGACAATTTTGGGTTAAATATTGAGCCATGGCCATCGTGACATCAACCGTCGGTCAAGGGTGCGTACACACACCCTTGACCTTTTCGATCTTATTGTTAAATTTTTTTGTAAAAAAATCATAAACATATTTTAGTTCAAGCATTTTTAACAAATAGTTTCAAGAAAAAAATTCAGAAAAATTATTGTTTTTCATTGCTTGGCCGTTAATGGGTTAATAATTATTTTCAATGTCAAATGATAACAAAATCTACATAGCACCAAAACCAAGATGAACGCTCACTGATTGCTGGCGAATTAATGAGTCAGACGTAGATACGTCTGAACGGTTCTGTCAATAATGTATTGCATATCATTGATCTATGTTATGTAACTGACGAGAGAAGTTGAAAGGTGAAGGCCAGTTTCTGACGCCTATAAAATAAATAACTAGAACATATTGACTAAGACATTATGTAATGATGAAATTATAAACACTCAGAAGAATAAAACTAAAGAGCAAATCGATCACAACGAACCAGGCAAGTCAATGATAAAAGAGACGTAATAATGGATAGATTAAAAATAGTCAACAGATTAAAGAAAGTAACGACGGATTAAAAAGTCGTTACTTTCCAGTTATAGCATAGACGTTCGTGAAATATTAAGACACTGTTACAAGTAAAAATGTACGTAATCTACTTACCTTTTCCTCATTGCCGCCAGCAGGTTGATTCTTCTGCTTTACCAACTGTTCGGCGGATTTGATTTCTTCTAAAGTTACCCCTTGAGTGGATCGTCGAGTTTCTCTCACCCTCTTGGCGTGCGCTTTTCTTTGAGTTTCACTTTCTTCATCCCTTACTGGAGGAACAAACGACCTACAAGGTTTAAGTTTAAAAATTATAAACAGACAGACGCGTCATAGGTTGTTTATTATAAGTCACATCGATTTTTTTGAAGAGACATTTTTTAATAAGTGGACTGTTAGAAATATTAATAATATATTAAATAGAGTTGCGAATTGTCTTTTTACTTATATAAAAGTAGAAAAATCATATTTGTGAAAACTGTAGATTACAGAATAAGAGGCTGGTTTGACATAACTGTCGCCTAATTAAGAAAAGGCACGATATTTATTATTTTTATCAATTTTATTCTTCAATGCAGTCTTCTTATCTACCAATAGAGGTTATAAGACACTTTTGCGACGTTTTTATCCCATTCGAAAAGTAATTTTTCCGGAGCTCCTCCAAATGTCAAGTTTGGTCTATAACTTCATCGTTAGTGGTAAAAGGCATTCTCTAAGCCCTTTTTTCGTTTGGGACAGGATGTGGTCATAAATCTCATGAATATGGTGGATAGTCGATCAATTAGATATTTTTTCTGATCTGAGATCTGGTGAATAGTCGAGATTTTTTGCAAGACAAGCCAAAGGTTTTTTTTTCAATTGGTGACAAAAATATCCAAGAGATGATCTTCTCAAGTAATCAATGTGAATACCTTTCGCAGCACAAAAGACAGTCGCGATCATCTTTTCAGTTTCAGAATAAATGTTAACGAAGGTAAACTTAATTAGTAAAAATGTATTTGATAATTTTCATTTTATGGAAACTACTACATATTCATGAGATACGAGATTATCTGGCAATATCGCAAAATGGTTGATTCACTATCAAATGCATTTTAAATTAAGGTTAACGCACCAAAGTGACTTTCTCTGTACGATTTACTGCGCAAATGATCTTCGCGGTTTTAGCCATTAGTATGCTAACATGATTTACACGTTCAATTGACATGTTTAGAGCCTCCGATACGTCGTGAATGTTGATTCTATGATCTGCCATGATCATATTATGGACTTTCTTGATAATTCCTTCTGCAGTGACGGTTTTTGAGGCAACTAGATGTTCGTCATCGAACGCACTACTAATGTCGGTGCAGATTTTTAATATCACTTAGTTCAGCCTTGATTTTTATGTCAGGTAGATAAGAAAACAGACAGAAAGCGTTCTCTCGAAGGCTAGATTAATGACAAACCACCTCCTTATATTAAATATGTCATAATGTCATCAAAATCAATGTGACTCTAAGAAACTTTGCAATAGCACTCAACCAAGCCTAAAAGCTTTTTTGAGTCGATGTCTTTATGTGACTCAAACAGATTTTGCAGATATATAAGATAGTACTTGAAGAGAAGATATTATATTGTTATTTGAGAACTAAATAAAAAGTTATCCAGTTATCAATTAACTATAGTACATAGAATCAAGAAAGTCAAATTTAATGCAACTCATACTTAGACAGAGAGACTTCAATACTAGGCTATACATATAGTATTTCCTTTCAAGAATATTGCACGCCATTAATAACGTTTCCACGTGCTCACAGTAGAACTAACCGCTTAGAAATTTCACTTTAGAATTATTTTAATTATTGATGAGGTGCAAATGACACTTAAGAACTGTTGGTGTTTTATTAAGAAGTTTTATTTTTTATTAATGTTACAAAGTTTTGTGTAATATACTGCAACTACACAATTATTTATTATACTTCTATTAAAAAAGCCAAAGCCTCATTTGGTAGCTGCTGTTCAATCATTACATTTTTATGATTGCATAATTCTACAGGGTGGTTACATCAAAAGTCATAAGAAACTATTTGTAGAGGACTAAAATATGTATTAAAAACAACTGTTAAAATTGTTCTACGAATTAATGTATTTCAAAATTTTGTAAAATTATAATACATTTTTCAGGAAACCCCTTATAGTCAGGCCACACGAGGTACAAGAATGTGTATGACATGTTGCGTTTAGTCCTAGTTATGTTTATGATAGTTGAAAATATTTGAATTGCCAAAATTTTAATTTTGTGATTTATTGTTTAAAAAACAATATAGTTGATTAAAAAATGTAATTAGTTGAGGAGAAAGTAGCAATAACAAAAATGTTTTATTCAGGCAAAATTGCGCGAATTATCAGTTCTTTATTTAGCGTAAGATATCCCAATAGACCAATTCCAAGTCATTCAACAATTCAAAGGATTTTACAAAATTTTGAAAATACTGGGACCATGATTTCTAATTGTACCTGCACAAACAATATTGCTAAGGTATCAAAAAATTTAGAAAATCAAAATGAAATAAATGTATTAACAGCAGTTGTAGAAAATCCTAGAATAAATTCACTGACCATTGTAGACCAGTCTAATATTCATAATTTTATGTAAATTTTATGTTTTATTTTTACAATCGAGTGGAATACTGCTTAGTACAAAATGGCTTATTGTTTGAACATTTGTTATATTTTTATGTTTAGAAATTATCATAAATTATTATTAGGAAGGATCACAGTAAAACGATATTGAAATTCTTTAAATTGTTGTATAAACTGGAATTGAATTTGAGTGAATTATGATATCTTATGTTAAATAAAGATCTGGAAGTGCTCGCACTATTGCCTGAATACAACATTATTGCGATTTTTCGTGAACTGAATACATTTCATCATTTGATGGCTTTGTAAGCAATATAATTTATTGTTTACAAAATACTATTTACTGTTCACTAGTAGTAGTAGTATTTGTGTATAATTTAATCACAAAATAAAAATATTGAAAATTCAAATATTGTCAAATATCAGAATCATCAATATGACCAAACGCAACATGTCATACACATTATTGTACCTCGTGTGGCCTGACTTTAAGAGGTGGCCTGAAAAATGTATTATATTTTTACATAATTTTGGAATAAATCTAATTCGTAGAAGAATTTTAACATGTGTTTTGAATACAGATTTCAGTCCTCTACAAATAGTTTCCCATAACTTTTGATGTAAAATAATTAGGAAAGCAGGAATTCAGCCATTTAGAATTTCCCATTGAATTTCCTATGGCCCGTTTGGCGATTCACCACCCGGTATACATTCTTACTTCTAAAAAATATGGCAATGTTGTGTGGAAATAACAATATCCAAATTAGATGACGTGCAACAGATTTATAATAAAATGATCAATATACAGATGGATGAAACTTGGGGACATTTCTACGACCCAGAAACAAAGTACCAATTAATTGAATGGACACACTCTGGTTTTCCAAATCCTAAGAAGTTTCGCGTTAAAAATAAAAAATCTTAGAAAAGTTTGACGTTACTGACTAGTCTACGAGAAACGATTATGGAAAGAAGAGTTCAAATTCAAACTCCCTTATTAACTGAACTAAAGTCTAAAATTTCCTATAGAGGATAGAATCTGTGAAGACATGGTTTGCAAATTAAGATATTTTTTCTGAGATGTCTAGAACAGTTGTAAATTTATTAACATCATCAATCGATCTTTCCAATTAAGATGAGAGTATGTTGAAAAATAACATACTTTAGGCTTTCAAATCGTATTTGCTAATAGATGGAGTCGTCACTTCAGTACTGAGATATGACAACCTTGGTGTACATACGTTAAATCTTTCATATGTGAAGTATGAAAACATTCAGTAAGTCATTAAATTTTGACGTTAATATTTTCGCACAGGGTTACCGTATTGACAGGATAGTACAGAATGTAGGAAATTGTGAAGCGATGAAAATTTCCACAACAAAAATAATGAATTATAGTGAAGGTGAAGAGTTAAGATTAATTGCTACTTGACAAAATATTCAAATTGACTAATGTTTTAAAGCTCTAGTGATATTTACTGATGTCTTTTTCATAATTGAGGCGGTGAAAGGAAAAGATAAGATAGATTAAAGTAGAGCACGAATTTCATCTTAGATGAACTTGAACGTATTTCTATGAAAAATTATACAGAAAAGGCCCAGACTGACGATTCTTACGGTGTATTCACTTTTGACCTATAGAAAGTTCTGGCTTTCCCAAAACTAACCACATCTATCACTTATATAAACGTAATATGTACATTTACAACTTGGACTGCTATCGAGAGGATCTCAGGAAATCAGTGACTGTGTCACAAAGAACATATAATTACGTGCAGCAAATTCAAAACATGTTGTATTGTACAGTGATTACAGAGAAAATAATATCGAAATAGTTGATCACAAGTTTAATTGTAAGCGGACACTCTTACTTACCAAACGACTCAGACTTTGGTTCAATTGAAACTTACTCTAAAGGTAAACAGATTTATGTGCTTTAAGATTGGTTTTCAGTCATAGTTCGGTGTAGAAATAAAAAAGCTTCCATATTCACAAAAATGCTTAGAAGACTTTTGAAAAATCTTCAAGTGGATTGCCTGTACACAGCACCTCGTCCAGACATGCCAGCCAAAAAACAGGATATGTGTGATTTACTACCATACATTCCTCCAGTCCATCATTCTTATTTTAGAAATCTTATATCATCTGATGAAGTCAATGACGAAGCTGGACCACTTCCTGATGTAGATGAAAATAATGGCTAACAAACTAGTGAATTTATTTTTGATTTTCTAATGTAAAAACAATAAACATCTTTTGCTTTCTGTACATTCTCTTTAAGCTCTTAAAGGAAAAGTGGTGTAAGTCATTTCCCCCCTTAAAAACTACCCTTAACATAGTTTTATTTGTACAAAATTAAAGTAGAGTTACATATTATGTTCTTAATAGATAAAAAAAATACCACAAACATGTTTATAAAAATTACGTAGATTTAATTACAATATTTCTAATAAAATCTTATGTACCCAAAATGATGCTCAGATGACTTACACCACTTTTCCTTTCACCGCCTCAATTATGGAAAAATGAAATAGTAAATTATTTTAATATAAAAAATAGTAATGTACAGTTTAATATTATAGATCAAAACTATGTCAAGCTGTTTATCTAGGTTCAATTTCTTGAGCCATTTAATTAAAAAGGCAATTAAATTAAAAGGTTATTGATGGAAACACATGATATTAGCAAGGCTTTCAAAATTTGTCAGGCACATGTTTTCATGTGCAATTTTGTGATACCAGTAATTTTTTTGGTGTGAACCTTTTTAAGGTGACTTAAGAGATCTCTTGCTACCTTGATAAATGGTGTTCACAGTAGAAATATTTAAGCTTAAAGCTGCTGCAATACGCTGTAACGGATAATATAACAATTAACAGTTACTTGTATCAGTGACTCTTCATTATCACGATTTCTTTTGTACTATGGCAACATAGAAATGTCACTGAGAACGTGCAATAACCTACAAGAAATAATGTACACTAAGATAATATTTTCAACACATATATTATTAAAACATCAAACTTCCGCGATTTATATATTAACTTTGTCGTATCTTCACCGAATTTTTCATCAAAATTTATATAGCATATTTAAGTAAAATGTATTATGAATAGAATATTTTCTCAAAAAGTACATATCTTATTGAAAAATAAACGCAATCACAAGCCTGAAGAAGTATACGCTTAAGTTGAACAATACAAGAGTCAAGTACAAAACAGTACAAGAAAAAATACATTTAAAGGTTTCATATAAAAAATCTATAAAGAGGGTTCAATCAAAATACACAATAACATTTGTTCACGCTTGTATATATAATAAAAGTGTAATAAAGCAATCGGTTGTCTGTTGTCCTGGACTTAAATGTTGCGCAGAAAAATCCATGCGGTGTGTTGATCTGTACTGGATATTCAGTGTAGATGTAATATTAATTTGGCATGGATATTTTTTGTTAGAAAAATGCAGGACACACTGGAAATGATCTCAATTCAATTGCAAAAATATGTCGTTATAATTTTACAAACCTTTTTTACTTTGTAATTAAAAATTATGGTAAATATGTTACACTCTGTATTTTGATAAATAAAATAAAAATTCGATAAAACTCTACGAACTTGGCTGTAACTGTTACACCTTGGCATAACCTAGTGCTGTTGCCGATATAAAAGATGCGCCATGTTCGTCCTATGTAAAAACGTAACATTGGATATCACCGGTATGTTCACTTGTTCCGCTTTCTTGCTGTAGATCATGTAAATGATTAGTTATAGTTTTAATTTGATGTATGTAATCAACAATTTCAAGATTTTGTGTGCTTGTTTTTATCAAAAAAAAAAAGTTAAAGACGCCCGGTATACATACAATAAGAAGTGAACGATCACTGAATTACTTCAGAAGCTTTATAACACGTTTCGTTAAATTTTCATCCGTAGTTTGTTTCAAGATAACGTTGTGAACATATTTCCAAAATATTAATTTTTAATTGAATTGAGATCAACGACGTACACTTTAAATCAGGCCGCACAGCAAACAAAACCTGCAAACCTAGCGCCATAAAAACTGTGTGTAAACATACTTAAAGAAATTTTTGAGCATCTGAAGCCTCGTTCCTCCCGGTGTTGTAGGAGTGGAGGGCGTAGACGAATTAGTTACCGGTGTTGGAGCAGTAACTGTTGTTTTAGGCGGAGGTGGAATTTGCAACTTTAGACCACTGACAAAAATGTTAAATATCAAAATTTACGTTCAGTAAAAAGTGAAGAAAAAACAATAAATTTTCGATAAAGAACGTTTATATATAGGCGTTTTTTAATTCCATATCCTTGTGCGTGTTCAAGTATAAAATTGAGAATCTGCGGCTTCGCTTACTAGTCCTTTCTACTTTCCTGTAGGAAGAACAATGACCTTGGAATTGGTCATCAGTCGCAGATTGGACGTGGTTCCCAATTATTACTTCTAATGTGTTTCCTGACGAGCTTCTAATCATTATCCATCTGCTCTACTTCCTTTATCATATTTGGCGTCAGGTGTGTGGTTGCTGATCATCCTTTGCACCTGACGTCACAGTGATAATCTCATAACCTCAATCAGTTTCCTCACCTTTGCTGCAAACGTGTTAGTGATCTATATAAGTCAACAATGCGTACCCAACCCCTTATGATAAAGGTAAATAACTAGAAAGTTATCTTAAAACAAATAATTAGCAGCAAATGAAACCCTCAGCATTTTAAAAATACCCGGAAAGATGATTCCTTATAAAAGACACCATTGAAAAAAATAGCAACAATTCACAGATCTAAATAATGGAAAATGTTTCTATCAAAATAACATCATTATTAAATAAGATCGTTTGTTCTAAAAATTCGCTAATCATACTCTGATCAAAATGATGGCGAATGAAATAAGCTCTAATTATATAACAACGAAAGGAAGATGGTCAGTTGAATCTCAAAGATGTTGGATCCAGATCGATATAATTTATGTAGCAAAGCGAGACTCTGAGGCCAGAAAAGTTCAGTGTAATGTGTGTTGGACTGAAAATTAATCAACAATCTTGGATTGCAGTTCATATTGAAACCCCTAAAACTTAACTACCAATTGTTTTTTTCCTCCATCTATAGAAAATATAGAAAAAAACACAATTTCCGCCGAATTATTCGTAAGAATCGTTTAAGCGATTGGTTTACCTTCGCAATGGTTGCTGGTTGTTAGTAGTAGGCTGTGGACTAGTCACTGGTGAAGTCTTTTCTTGTGATATGTTAGTTGTGGTATTTGTGGTTGCAGCGGTACTGACCGGTGTATCGTTGTCTTCCTTTTTAGTCCTTAAAATTAAACATTTATTGAACTAGCAATTGACGAACCGAATGGAAGAAGGGATAAGTGGCATTTACTAAGGTTTTCATGAGATTGCGATGAATATAAAGTTATTTAGTTATACATACCATAAAGTACAGCTCTTCGATTCGAACGGGGCCAGAGTTACTCAATATACGCATTCACTACAACACCTGTACGTTTGGCACAGACGCTCATGCTCCCAACGGCCACACTACAATCGGAGAGCTGTACATAACCTTTTGTAAAATAAATAATTTTAAAGCAGTCCCATATATGCCCATCTAGTAACCAGATAAGACAGTAATTTGCAAACGTACACTAACATCACACAATCCCCTCTCCCAAATTCGTTCTATAACATTGAATTAAAATACCAAGACATGAAAAAAAAAATATAACTTACGGTTTTTCATTTTGTACAGTAGGAGGTTTCCTGAGAGTAACTTCTGGATCAATTTTTATAGATTCCGTGGAATTAGTTAGATCTACAAAAATATTTAGAAATTTAAAACAAAAATCATCATGATAAAAAATCATCGATTAATATTAACAATGTTCACACAAAATTCAACGCAGTAATAGTTTATCACCTCTATGATCATGATTACTCACTATTAGTATTATTTAGTTTTGTTGGACTCAAATCTGAATTCTGTTTTGTAAACGGTTTCTTCCTTAAAGTAACATCCTCTTTGTCGTCAACGATCTTCTGGGGCACAGTAATGTTCGTTGTGATTTCATTGTTGACATTCAGGTTATTTTTCTTTTCTGAAACATTAAGAGTTCAATTAATTAAATTATTGGTTCCTAACTTTTGGTAAAGTGATAAATAAGTATAACTGCAAATGGTTTTTTGACATAAATATATGTCTTATTATAATAAAGAATGTTTGTTATAAACGACTGCAGATGAATTTGATTTTGGACTTATTAATACAAGATTAATTTGAACGGCATTAACATTATCATCACGGCCTTTCATTCCTGATGAATTATTTGCCGCTCTTATTTAGAGCTCTTTGATTCGCTTATTGCGGTGAATCATTTCCCATTCTTCTTATGTATTGTTGTATGATTTGGATTTCGTTAAAATTTTCTTCCACTTATTTCGATCTGTGCATAGGTCTCTCTAGTTTCCCATTTTCAGGATTTTGATATCTCTCATGACCTGCTCCTCCCATCTCTCTCTAGGTCTTCCACTTGGTCTTTCAGTTTCTTTCTTATTCCTCTGATGACCTTAATCATCAGTCATATTTTCTTCTCTGTGTTTACTATTTTTATCGGACCCATAATTCTTCTGAAGATTTTTCTTTCGAGTATTCTTAATCTTTATCTGTGACGCTTATTGTCTCAGCTGCGTATGTAACTACTGGTCTGATTGCAACTCTTCTTCGTAAGTGCCATCTTCGTTCCGAATGTTGGCGATCATCAGAGCTACACGTATTTTCGAAACTGCTGACCGAAACAATTCGTTGTTGCTACAGCTATACCATTCCCGTAGATTCTTTAGCCAGGAGTTTCGTCTTCTTCCTATGGACCTTTTTCCTGCTATTTTCCCTTGCATAATTATTCGAAGCAGTTCATATCTTTTGCCTCTTGTAATGTGTCCAAGTATTGCAGTTTTCGTTTTTTGATCGTAAATATGACTTCCTTTTCTTTATTCATTCTTCTCAAGACCTCGACATTTGTGACTCTCTCGGTCCAACTCTATATTTCCAATTTTGTAATAAATAATGAATTGGTTGCCCATATACAAACATATTGTAATTCAAAAAATTTAAAAAACCTTTCATCAGGTATGGTACAAAAACCTTACTTATGCTTGTTAAAGGGTTGAGGGGAGGGAGGAATTTTTTAATGAATAGTAAATCGTATCGGAATGTAAGTACTATTTATATTATTTTAGTATAATTTCTAATAGTGTAATAGTGGCACTTTTTGTAGCATACCTGATGAAAGGTTTCTTAAATTGTTCGAATTACAATATGTAATAAATGTTTCAGCATAAAGATTGTACTTTACCGGTGACCTGATAATAACCAGAAAACTGTAACTGTCTTCGAAACCGGTTGTCGCTGCTAAATAAATAGATTGTGAGTAATTTATTTGGTTTTCTTTATCTACTTTTGCATTGATGTCACCAATCATTAATATGATTGGTGATGTTACTATATCATTTCTGAGTAATCTTTCACGTAACTCTTCCATTTATTCATATAACTCAATTTTATCGTTATCTAGTGCATTTTCTGTCGGTGCATATATGTTTATGATTTTCATATTGGCTTGTTTGATTTCTATTTTTACATTTTTTATGGCATTCGTTCATTTATAGCTTTGAATTCTATAACCTTGTTCCTTATCTTATGCTGACCATTATTGCTGTACCATATTTCTCTTGCTTGTTGTCTCGCGACAAGAATATTGTGTATTTTTCTTTTTAATATTTCATTTTCCCTTGTGGGGCTTCCTGTTTCACGTGATTTTCTTTTCACTGCACTTTTTCCTGTCTCGATGTTGCTTGATGTGTATATTTTTTTCTGATTTTGGCTACAATTTTTTTACTTTTCGTTGGAGCGAAATTTTCACGTACTATTAGTCACGCATACTGTTGACAAGTCCAGAGTAGCAATATAGTGTGTTAAAAATTGGAATTGCCTACGGTAAACTGTAGTATAGGGTTATAAAAATAAGTACCACCATTTCTTCACAATAATCCATCAAGATACTGTGAATCATTGGACAAATACCGATCCAGTGAACACGAAAATTTATATTTATTTGAAAAAAATATGTGTCAGCCATATTCCATATAGCAACTTTTCATTAAATTATCACTTTCTCCACTGCGTCACCAATGTGTAAAAATATCTACATATTTCTGTATATAACTGTAGCAAAGAACCAGCTTCTTTTTAAATGCCATTGGTTTAGATACCAAAATGAAAATGAAGAAATTGTAGTTGCTTTTTCTTCTTCTTGTGTCTAATATAACATAACAGATCGTTAAGACCAACAGCTTATTCTATGTTGTATATTGCTTGATTGAAAAATTCTTCAAAGTGAAAGTTAAACAAGAGAGATGAAAACACACAGCAAGCAGCCTTGTCGGGCTGTACGCATCATAAGTATTTCTTCTCTGTTGTTTTTGTTTTCTGATGTCAATAAAGCTTTAATATTATTCTTATGTCTTTATCAGTTGAAAAAGGACAAAAATCACTTTTCCTCAGGATTTCATGAGATCAGAGATTTTGGTAGTTTGATATAACAACGTTTTCTTTTATTTAAGCGTAGTAGATTTTTCTAATTTTATTATTCTCTGTCTCATAGCGTTGCAAAATATTGTTAATTTCCGTAAATTTGTGGTAAACAAATTGAATTATTTAAAAACAATTCACTGAATCTTTTTTTGAAGTTTTTATTACATATTCACTATAAAAGCCTCCTTTGATGCTCAATTGACGTTGCAAAATCATTTTTGCAAAAGTTATTAAGAATTTATTCAATTTTAAAAATGTTTACCTCGTTTTAACGTTAATCACCAAAAAAACTTTTATCACATTTAATTTTATAGACCTTTCAATAAATTAACCCATCCATTTTTTCTTTTTAGTGATTTTTTCAGTGTTTTGATAAAATATAATGGTTTTAATTTATAGACAAACATTCTAAAAATCAGTCATTTTCATGATTTTACATAACTTTTCTTATTCTACCTATATAGAACCAAAAAATTTTTAGATAGTAGTTATGTCTTAGATAAATTTTTATACGGTATTCAGTAGTGCTTTTCTATAGTTATTGCATTCCATTTTGTTGCCTGTTTTCCTCATCATCTAGTCTCCAACGTCCACTGCTGAACATACCCCTCTCGCATACTTTTCCACTTAGTCCGATTTTGCACCATCTGAATCGAATTTGTATTCACTCTTTTTATGTCATCGATCATCTACTCGGGGACCGACCTCCGATTCTGTTAGTATCTATCCTGGGTCTTCATTTCAAAATTCTTTTCGTCCACCGATCATCGACTGCTCTTACTAGATGGCCTACCCAGTTCCATTTTGTGTATAGTAGCATTAGGTATTCTATCACGTGGGGAAACAGCTAGCATTGTTTTCTCCATTGCTCTTTCCGCAACTTGTAGTTTACTTAATGTTCTTCTTGTGAGTTTTGGCAGAATGTACTGATTAAATACTTTTCTTTCCAGCCAAATTGGAATCTTTGGGTTAAAAATATCCTTCATTTTTCCAAATCAACCCCAAGCAAGGTTTATTATTCTTCTTTTTAGCTCGATTGTTTGTAATGATTTATTATGATCTCATGGTCCAAATACTTTTAGGAGTCAACTAGCTCGGTGTCTCTGTCTTCTGTTGCCTGTTTGTTGTTGATGTATCTATCGCCTATTTTATGTAAAAGGCAAATAGTTGCTTCCTTAAAATTTACTGATTTTCGTTGTTTTATCCACGTGCCATTTAGACCCATCCAATAACAATTTTCCACCATACATCTCTACTGTTATACTATGAGGTCCAGGGCATTTGGTATTTTTCTAAAACAAGCTAATCATAATGATTCTAAAGTGATTACCAGAAAAAAACAAGGCGCTCGGTTGGTCGATCTAGAGAATAGAGATGTGAAGTGTTTTTATAAATAAAGCGCCTCACCGTTAACTTGTTAAATATTCTGTATAAAATAATTGATAAGATACTCTCTGCTATAGTTATTTATAATAAATAACCCAGTCTAGAAATGAGGTATCTGATAGCTTTAAGTCATAGGGGAACACAGTTGATCAAAAATATGTATCGATGTATTGTATGATCTGCTCATTTTTTTAAAACCAAAGGGGTAAGTTCTATATTATGAAACTATTGTGTTGTGAAAAGGCAGTTAATTTGAATTTTTATCAAATCACACACATATAATATTGGCAAAATTGCTATATATTTTGTACCAGACAGCACCCTAATACGGGTTATTATATTTTCAGCATTTAGTTTACCACATACCATTAACCTGAAGATGCATAGCAAATTATAGTATGCGAAACCGGTTGCTGTTGGTGTGAATAATTTGAATTGTAAGTCTTATTCTTACTTCTTTTAGTCTATTTAAAACAGGTATTATTAAAAAATTACTAACTTGGCTATCTAGAGATCGTAGAAGGTTTTTTTCTCTGTTAAATGCGTGTTTTTTAATTAGTTTTTCGGTCCACCTAATTAGAACGATATATCATAAAAAAAATTATTCTATTTGTTTATTAGCAAAAAAACCTATTTTAACGGCTTGCGTAAAGAAATTTTTACAAAAATAATTAGGTTTTTCACTTTTTCTTGTAATTTAAATATTACAGGATCCATTGTTCTTTGTTAAATAGCTATTGGAGTATACTGTGGGGAGCAATAAGTGTTTAAACTTTTAATATCTGGGATAAACAATTAACAATACCTCATTAACTAACAAACCGATGATCTGTTTGGGTTTTTGCACACTTATATTCACATAATCTTAAGGTGTATAATGTTACTTACAGTCATTATTGCAAAAATTATTAACGTTTGTTATGTATAATAATGTAAAAAATGATTTTTGCATTTATCGGCAAATTATTGATGGATTTGGACTTTGGACTTGTAAAAACTCAAATTAAGGGTCGTTTAATAACACAATAGCTTCACAATACAAAACTTACTCCTAATTACATGTAAAAACCCACATTTTCGTAAAAACGTTAAACTCATTATTTTGCTCATAACTTAAAAACTTGTCTATTTAGAGATTTAAGGTCAACAGACAACTTTTTTGAAAAAAAAGATACACAAAATGAGATATGTTAAATTAAAATCGGATAATAAACAAAAAAGTTATTGCAAAATGTACAACAAAATCGCTGTTTTTAAATATTTTTAATAACTTTTTTATTGTTTAATAAAAACTTGTTTAAATATACCTAAACTTGACGGCCTTATCTTTTTTGAATTGTGTGTAAAAGACAAGTCAAATCGGTTGAATAATTTTTGGGAATTCTAATTTGTTTATGAATTTTTGAAAAATGATCTAAAAAATGAAATTAGTTCAAATTAAATATTTTCAAAAATATTTGGAAGGCTGGTTGAAAACCAGAAGAAAAAAAAGGTTCTACGACCCCAAGGAGCCAAGATAGCCCTTTAAAAAAATCACTGTTATGTTAATTAACAACATTAATAGCTGAAATTAACCAATCATTTAGAAGAAAAGTTTAACAAAACTTCTAGCCAATAAAATTATTGAAATTTTTTTATTAAACAGGAGTGTTGTAAACAAAGAGTACTTTGCGTGTCGACTAGAGTAAAAGGAGTGTGGGCAGCCGACTGAAGAGCCAGTCGCGCTCTTCAAAAAATCATAACACAAGTTCAAAATAGAACGATCGGAAAAATGACATCTTGGGTTCAATTGGACCAAATTTGCTTTCTTTTCTAAACTGGGGTACAAGATTAAAATAATAACATTTATCGTATTTTCATTGCAAAACTATCCAAAACAAAGCAGATAATGACTGTGATGTACAAATATTTTCTTAAGTCGCCTTTTTATTAATATTTTTTTATTTATTTAAAATTATTAAATAAATGTTATTTATAAAAATTATTAAATTGGATAATACAAGAAATATTCTTTTTTTAACAAAAAACGCTTTTTTGTTCTAAAAATAATTTTTTAATACTAAAAAACTGATTTGTTTAAATTTAATAAGAATATATAGTAAAATTGTTTATAAATATCATTTATTTAACAATCAAATTTTAAATAAATAAATAAATAACAATAAAAAAACGAGCTTTTTTCCATACGTCATTAGTATACGTTTTACATAAGCCCTGATTATTGAGATCCAATCAGTCAAATTATCTGGACAAACCTTAAAAATTAGCTCATGTTTTAAAAATCTTATAGAGAAATTAAATTTAGCAAAAACTATTCAACGGATCTGGTCCATCAATAATAAAAATTAGTTATTACAATTCCATCAATTGTAATAAAAAATCAAAAAGTTATTAACATAATAATTCATAAACAGCGATTTTGTTTTTTATTTTGCAATCACTGATGAATCCCTAGATACGAATATTTTTAATATTGTTCTGAAGCTATATTCTTGTGGCATTTTAAAGTAATTATTATTGGGAATAAGCCACAATTAAAAGTTAAAGTAGGTTTATTGACGTTTCAATTTCCACTTCGGAAATTGTTCTCAAAATACAAACATGAGTAATTTAAACTTTTTTTTTTAACAAAATTTGTTTAATTTGCTTATATTTGTATTTTGAGAATGATTTCTGAAGTGGAAATTGATCAATAAACGTACTTTAACCTTTAATTGTGGCTTATTCCCGTTTAAATAAGAATTAAGAATATTTTCTGTCAATCCCGTTCATACAGTTGTGATCAAAAAAGATTTATGTCTTTTTTTTACTAATTTCATTGGTCTTTATAAAAAAAAATAAGCCCATCTGACAGTACCTCGATACGTATTTTTCATTATCTATGTCCCTTCTATGATTTAAAACGATCAGACATCTGTAATATTATTTTTCACCTATATTTTCTTCTAGACTGGGGTATAATGGCTATATAAATAATTCAAACGAATAATCTCAAGATTAATATTAATTGTTAGTACATTCTTATTATAATTATTGTAACATTACATAAAAGAATAAATTGATTAAATATTAGATACATTAGTTTAGTAACTGTACATTTATTACATTTACCGTCGTCGGAGCTTTCTGATTCACTCTCAGAGCTGCTCTCTGATTCTGTTTCTGATCCCGATTCACTTTCGCTTGATACGTCCATTTCTTTAAGGCAGCAATAAAAAGCAAATAATCATTAAATAAAATGATAGGGGTGAATAATATTTATAAAATTATCAACTATTTATTGAAAGATACTAATAATTTTGTAAAAATATTGGTATACATGTGTACTTGCTTCTGGTAACTGTTTTTTATAACTTCTTTTTTATCAGTGGCCTCACACAACACATCTGTTGTGTTTTTTGTTTTTAGATATTTTAACTTTTCTACGAGAATTGATTAGTTTCAAAATTTTTGAATTTATCTTGATAATGGCGTTGAATTGTGCCAAATTGATTGTTCTTACATTTACAACAAAATTCATTTGTTTTATACTGCTTTAATTAATTAACCAGCTAATTTTATATTTCCTACATAAATACTTTGTTTTTTTTTTAATTTTGGCAAAATAATTCTGTGTTCTTTGATCGAACTATACGGATTTTATGACTTATGAATTGTCTCATCGATCCTCATGGGTTCTATGCCTAACCAGTATTAATAATATCTCCCTAAAGTCATTAGCTTTTCCTCTTACTATAAATTTGTTTGAAGTATGATGTCACCGAAGAATGTCATAATTGTATATATTTTATTAGAAAATATACTTAACTCCGTTAAAATTCCATACGATTTAAATATATTTTTACAAAATTATCGATCTTCTTAATGGGTTATAAGAATCTATTTATACGAAATAAACAAGCATCATAGAAAACCATAACATTCCGATAATAATTAATTTCGCGGTCAATGTGAAAACATATTTTGAAATACACTTACATAAGTGCTTTTAAATGTTAGTGATATTCTTTCTAATCTTATTATTGATTCCATTCGTCGAAATAATTAACCTACATAAAGTTTTTGACGTTAGAATTAAAAAAAAAAACGTTATATATATACCTATATTCCTAATCACTTTCGTCCCTTCGAGCTCAACCTTTTTAACTTTGGTAGGCGTCTCAGATTCCAAATTCCTATCGTTAATATCGGCCCTCTTCTTGGCCATTCTCCTATTGAATACTTCTTCTTTATTTTGTTTTTTCCTAAGATCTTCCAATGTCGATAGCATGTCAGTATCACACAAGTCAAATGCTGTTTGTCCCTACAAAACACAAAACATTATAATAGGATCAGTATGGTATATAAAGTGCTTTAATTTTTCTGCCTACCCATATATCCCAGTCAATGAACAAAAAAAAGCTGGAAAAATCTTTGCAAAAAAATAAATGGCAAATATACGGACACCAAAGAGGAAAGTCTTAGAGAACTGATAAACACGCACAACAAACTACAGATTGGGAAATAGCAAAAATCACAGCAATCACAAGCCCAAACAGAATTAGATGAGCTATAAATAGGTTTCGACCATATCAGTATCCAGGGGCAGATGGCATATTTCCAATACTGTTGCATATGGGATTAGAGGTATTGATAGCATACCTAGCATGGGAGGTCGTACCGGAAATATGGCAAAAGGTTAAAGTCATATACTTGCCTCAGGTAGGTAAACTATCAGACCTAACACCAAAGTCATATAGACCGATAAGCCTATCTTTGTTTCTATTAAAAACAATCGTCGATATGCATACCAACCTGGTAAATCTAAAGACTCTGCGTTGGATAATCTAAATAGGCTTATCTCAAAGTCAATGGAAGATAAAGAGATAGCAATGGCCGCTTTTTTAGATATAGAAAGGACATTTAATAATGTTCTTAAACCAGCTCTTTGATAGAAGTTATGAGTAAACGAGGCGTACCTGCGGTAATATGCAGATGGATAAGGAAATCCCTGGAGAATAGGACAGTAATGTCCACTCTGGGTTAAACAACCATCAACGCAAAAGTAGGTGGAGGCTGCCCACAAAGAGTTCTGTCCCCTCTACTTTAGGAAACCTTGGTAGATTATCTCGTTCAGAAATCTGTCCACAGAAGGCTTTTATTGTCTAGGTTATTGTTGTCAGGGACAGCTTTGACCAGGTGGTGTCTGAGAGAATGGAAGCAGCCCTAAATATAGTAAGAGAGACCGACAGTCAATGCTCAGAAAACACAAATCGTCAACTTCACAAAAAAAAAAACAGCCCTAAAAGGCCTAAAACCACCGGTGCTGGAAGGAACAGAGATTTCATTTAAGAAACAAAATACCTTGGGGTGTATTTTGATCATAGGCTTACATGGAATACTCACATTCTGAAAACCACACAGAAAGCTACTATACCAGACAGATATAGAAGAATGTGCGGTAAGAATTGTGGACTTAACCCCAAAATGTCTCGATGGTTATACACAAGGGTTATTAGACCAATGATAACCTGGGTTCGGTGACGAGGTGGACAAAGACGCGGCAAATGGGAGCAATACGGCTGCTAGGTTATAACCAAAGGCTAGCATGCCTGTGTATTACGGGGGTCATAAAAGCAACTACTACTGCAGCGTTGGAAGACCTGCTGAATCTAACACCACTTCCTATCTTTATACAGGACGAAGCCAGAGCAGATGCACAGATTAATCCTTAGCCAGCGACATATAAGCCAAATGCATGGTGTTAACAACAGAAAGCTAATCGAGGAGATAAAAGTCGATATTGTGATGGGGCAATCTATCGATGCAACAGCCAAGAGATACAGCTTTAAAAATAAGTTCACACTGAAGATACCAGGCAGGGAAGACTGGAATAAAGGTGTACCCACACAAGCTGTTGTTACCTGGTAAAATGGATGACTTAAAAACATTGGAGGGTGTGGGAGCCGGCATAGTAGGGACAACTCAAGGGATACATTTCCCGGTAAGTCTACCTAAGGATGTGACAGTTTTCCATTCGGAAATAACGGCAATCCATCACTGCGTGGTAGAAATAGAAAGACAGAAAAGAACGTTCCGTTCAGTTGCCATCTTCACAGATAGCCAGGCAGCGCTTAAGACACTCAATTCTGTAGAGGTCAATTCTAAGCTAGTATGGGATTGTGTGTGTGTCCTAAATAAACTACGAGACCGAAGCAAGGTTACAATAGCCTGGATACCGAGGCACGAGGGTCATAAGGGCAATGAAAAAGCATATGAAATGGTCAAAAAAGGACTAGAGGACCACAATAGATCTAAAAAGGTCGCAGTGGAATAGGCCAAAAAGACCACCTCTCTAAATCTATCTGTCTATCCATATAGTATCTTGATGAATTCTTTATATATTTTAATTTAGAAACTCGCAAATTGAAGAACATTTTAAGATATACTATTTTTATTTGAACCATATTTCTCTAAACTGCATAAGAAACGTTTTATAGCCAAAAAATAACTTTTACACTTTTTAAGACTGTTTAAAACAAAAACAAAGCAAAATCAGCTGTACGTCTTCACGGATTTTTCACCATCTATTCTTCATATACCTTTTAGAACCTTCAAATATCTGTATAAGATTTTTACGTGATATCAATGATATTTTCCAGCTGGACTGGTATATGTGACTAAATCAGTAGTGAAAAAACTTTCGAATGGGAGACAGTTCAACAACTAAAACAAAAAATTTGAGGGATGATAATAGTGTTTTAATCAATCTGGTGGTTATTTGTAAATATATTTCTGACATAGTTTTCCAATAAAAATTCATTATTGAAAAATATATTCAGTTATAGTTTAGATTCCCTTTTTTATTTGGAGGCTAATTAAACTACCATTATGTTGCTTGGGGAAATAGTTAAAACGACAAAGATGGAAATTTTTTTAAATACTTTAGAAGCTTTCAGTTTATATTATCTTAATTAAGGAGAAAACACTTTGATTCCAAACATTAATAGTAGAAATACATCCGCGTACGATATAATACTTTAGGGGCAAAGGGATTTCGTGACCGATTGAAGTCCATGAGATTTTACAATGGTTTTTATTTTCACCCGCTGAATCCGAATCTTTAACATAATCCGAATTTTTGTAAAAAAATTGTTATTAACAATTTAAATGTTTAAATGCTTATAACTAATAAAGATACCCTGAACAATGAAAGTTTTATTCTATATTTAACTTCCAGAAAAATGAAAGTTATTGAAGACAGAGAATCACGTTGACTATTTTTGTTGCCGATAAATACAATTATATCTGCTAAGAAAAATGTCTTACTACGAAGTTTTTAGCTTCCATGTCAGCCAAACTTTCAGCCAATATTTGGCACGTTTCCTTTTGGCCCCAGTGCGCAGCGGCATGTAGAGGGGTCCAGCCGTCAACATCCTGCGCATCAATGTCAGCTCCACATTGTAACAATATTCTAAAAACAGAAGTAGATAAATATTTTAATATATAGACAAACGGATTGCATATTTATAATATAAAACCAACTAATTTTAAGAATCTTGTATTAATCAGGTCAGGGACACATCATCTTACATACATAACACACAATACATAAAAACAGAATACAGAAATAGACACACAAGTCAGAATTTTTGACTCAAAACGTGGCTATCTGCCTGGAAGATAGAGGACGGGTGACTCCCCTGTCAAATTTGGTTAAAAGGCGCCAAATAATATACAATGGTGTAAGAACCTCTTCATTTTAATTTAAAATTCCTTCTTAAAAAAAAATTCCGGACTGGAAATAGAAACGTCTAAACAAATGAACAGCTTATTTCAGAAAGGGATTCAAGTCATGTTAACTAACTTTCGAGAAATATGCAACAAAATTGTCTGGATATGAAAATCCTTAGTTTTGTGCCATGATAAATTTTTCTGTCAACTACATCTGTACAAGTAGATTAGAACATTACTACAGATTACTATCAACACTTATATTCTAATAATTCTGACCTGAAAAATTTATAATATCTACAAAAAAATCTTCAAATTCATGGGGAGTGTACTTTACAGCTTTCTTAAGGTCCTCCATTTTTTTCTTTCTTTAGAGGTAGTATTCGAGAAGTATAAGATTGTGCATTAAGAAGTTGAATGATTTGTGTGAAATACATCTCTTGCACTGGAACTTTAAGTAAATCTGCATTTTGCATAAAGTCAACAACAAAACCCAAAATGTTAGCATTTTGTTTTGATAATTCTTCACAATTTGCGAATGATGAATAAAATCGTTTGGCTCGACGTTTGTGCATCATTAGTTCTGCTGCAGAAACGTTCTTTGCAATTTCATTAAGTCTATGGTCTCTTAAACGTTTTTTTCCTCGCAAACGTTACATATATCACTATCCGGCCGGCCAAATCCAGGACGAAAATTTTAGAAGTACTTATGATACAAACTATACTTAATATTTCTTTCAGGATACATTTCACGCAATAGTTCATGCATTTTTTGAATTGACAAATATTCACTTAGGTACAAAACATCTTTATAATGCCCTTCTTTTATTGGAAAGGAACTAATATGATTGTGCACCTTGGCAGTTTCACTTTTAAATATTTTATTACACTTCTGTTTTTTCCTGGTAAATCGTGTGGCGTTTTTGTAGCCGAAAGTTTTCTAATGCGACGGATACGCTTGTCACTTACATCGTAGAGTCCAAAAAATCCTTCCCTACAAACCGATACTTTCCTACCTGCCAGAAGGACATGATATTTGAATAAGTGTTCCTTTAATGTACCATATTGTTGACGAGATCGATGCTGTTTAACTTATGTTAAGTCAATCATTCTCTGCAAGTGAATGACTTTATATTGTCTTTTTCAACATAGTCAAATTGTGTACAGCATTTTTTGGGACATCTACAATAGAAGAAGAAATTACTTAGTTGGTTTTAAGGGACTAGATAGGAGCTTTGCTGTAGTTTACAGGTTAGTGATCATTCCAAAATTGTACAAACACTTTCTGTGAAAAAACAACAAGCTGTAACAACGTTGACAACATTGAGTACTACATTGTAAAGAATTTTACCTTCAAGGAAATCTGATCCTTTTCGTTTGTCTTGGTTTCCCACTATAATCAATGTATTCTTGTCCAGAAACACCAGCTACAACGTTTCTGTTATATTATTCTACATTATCAACAACATTTCTCCGTTTCTGTTTCAGGCATCCTGAATGCCTGTCACTATCACTATCACCCATTCTTGAAAATTAACAATAATTAACTTCCTAATAGTTATTCCATACTGCAGAATAACCTCAAACAACAATAATATCAGCTGGAGTAGACTAAATGCAGGTTTACCAACTTGCTACTTTAGTGCAGAAAAGTAAGTCAGTCACAACTTGGGTCCTTTTCTGTAGTAAAAGAAAAGTACGCCATACGATTTCTCTATTATAATAAAATGAATCAGGTCCCTTTCTACAATAAACGATGATGTGTCTACCATGATAGTGAATGAATCCACTCCTTACAAAAAATATATAAAAACAAACTCAGGTCTCTTTCTAAGCCGTTCAAATATAAAATGAAATTTTTATTACAATCAACTGTGGCTTAATCCCATATAAACATAATGCTTAACATGCCACAAGAAAACAGTTTCAGAACTCCTTTCAACATAAATGGAAATCTTAACGAAAATAATTGAGACGGAAAAATTTTATGTTAATTGGAAACTTTGATTAAATCCTTTCTAACTTACGTAATTTTTAATATTTTATAACTGAAAACATTATTTAGGTACCCACATTATTGATTTATTAAAATACTGCAACATTTGAGACAAGAAAATTTAATGTTTTAGTTCTTCGTCAGTGAATTTTTTTAGTCTTGGTTTAGAACCTTTAGCCACGTAATTACATACAAATATTAGTATTCATTCATTCAAGGATTGTACATGTACAGGGAGGACACTTTTCTCGTTCAGGGGTTCATGAGAGTGACTTCATTATAGGAAATATCCATTCAAAAGGTAAAATTTTTCATTCACACCTTTAATTTAATTTTTTGCTTATATAAACTATGCTATCAATAATTTTTTAATGGAGTGTATTGGCAAAAGCACCGAAAGAAATAATATGGAGTTTTTAAACGATCCATCGGCCGTTCAGATGTATTATATTTCTTCCAGCTCTCTGACCTTCCAAAGACCTTGTACGCTGTAAAAAAAGCATTTATTTAAATCTCTTCCGTTCACAATTCTGATTGTTATCCACTATAGATTAAGTGTTTAATAAGAAGATAGAGAATGGAGGAGACAATATGTTAAGCTAGAAGACATAGTACTTACTTTATAACGTCGGCATATCCTTTGGCACAGGCTACATGTAAAGGTGTAGCTCCGTTTTTAGGGTGTGGTACATTAACTAAGGAACTTTTTGTGGCTAACCAATCTTTGGCATCTCTCAACATCACCAATTCTTCTTCGTTCCTAGCTGCTTCGCAGTCGATGCCTAGTAACGAAAATAAAAATAGATGTAAACTTTTGAAAGAATACTTGAGAAGAATATCTCAAGTCTGTTTAAATTTGACGATGGTCTTAGCCGGAGTTGTTACCAGTGTCCTGTTATAGTTCTTATGTCGCGATCTCCTGGCGGAGGTTGGCAATCATTACGGATATTCTTATCTTGTTGCAGATTGCAGATAATTTATTAACAGTGACTAAATTACCCAATTTCTGTCTGTGAAACACTATTTTAATTCCGTAAGATACGCCCATTTACTATCTTAATTTATTTATTATCTGCTCAACATTTTATTAGACTCATGGACTCATATAGACTATTAGATTTATGGATGTTGATAATTATTTACTCGTTCTATAATAGAATTTTATTTTTAATGTTTAGTGATCGATTGGTATTGATAACGGTGTTAGTATTGATCATATTTTTAGTTTGTGTTGGTTATGTAACTTTTTAGTTGCTGAAGAGACTAGCCAAATTGCGGATTGTGAAATTTTATGCATACATATTTCAAAGCACAATCACCAAAACATCAGTGTCCAAAGCTCTAATTAAAATCCTTGATCCAGGTGAAATTTTATGAGCGTGAAAAACAATCCGCGTATACCATTCTTGGTGGTAACATGCAAAATCAGCTAGCGCTGTCATCGTAGCACTGATGATAAACTGTTAAAAATATTTTTTTGTTTTGGATAATTGTAAGCAAATTTTTACTATCCTAATAATCAGTCAAAATGCGTACTAGTACCTCTTTAAAACGATAGTATTTGAGGCTTTGCAAACAATCTTTAGACCTAACTTTTTGAGGTCCTGAAATTTTATATGGAACATCGAATTTCTTTCGAGCTTGACATTCAGAACGACGTTCAGATTTTGATATTAACTTTTGTTTCAAATATTTGTGGCAGAGAGTTTCGGTATTCAAAGTTTTCGCAAATGTTGCTTGGGAGTTTTCAACATTTCACCAGTCCATAAAAAAGTACAGGTGGCATGGGTGCAACTGAAAAAGTCCATCAATGTTCTAGATTAATTTTCTTTTCTATGCTAACTACCAGAAGCCGTCCATAGATGTTTCGTTCCATTTTCATCAAAACCTTCTTATTTTTCAAACTTTTGTGATCTTTTGAGAAGCAAAATTGATGATTTTGTTACGTTTTATAGGTTTCTCAAATCTTCCTCTAAATTTTTGTTGATTGTCAGTTTCTTTTGCTATGGCTGAGTACTCATGCTTTGTACTTACCGTTAGTGTTAAATTTTTTTGTTGAACTCACTAGTAGAATTTATAAAAAATTCATTTTTTAATTATTAATTAATCATAGCCTGGACAACATTATGTCGGCCAACTCTTGTTTTTTTTTTTATAATTTGTAGCATACTTAATTACATATCAAGTGAAGGTCTTTGTTATATCGGATCCTCTACTATAAGGTCTTGTTAATCTTGTATGTAGCAAGCAATTAACACTGCATCGTCTGTGTACCGAATATCGTCGGTGCTTACGAAAAGTAGAACTAATAAAATTTTTAACAAATGCGACGAAGAATATTATTTGCAATTATGTGCGAGGGAAAACTATAACCCTTAATAAAGCGTCAGCGAAATTAACAAATGTCAGTGAAATTAATTATTTTTGTCTGTGTCTCAGCGAAAACTGTTAGTTATTGCTAAAAAAACTTCCGGTGAAAGAATTACTTTTCGATGAGTAACAGCGAACATAATCACTTCCAATTCTATGTCCTTAATTCTAATAATACGCGATTTATTCCTATTAATACGCGTCTAAAAAAATATCACTGAATGAGTGACGACGAAAAAAGATAATTCTATTTATGTAACCAAGAAAGCTATAACTTCCCATACTGCACGGGAAAAAGAATAACTATAAAGGGTGACGTCAAACAAAATTATTTCTGTTTGTGTGACAACTAAAACTAAAAAAATTAAACGAAGAATGTTACGTTTCGATTTAATTTGAGTCTCTTACCACTCCCTGACACGTGTTTCTGGGTCTACCCGTCATCAGAAGGAGTTTGTAAGAAGACTCAAACCAAATCAAAACGCACCGATTACTCTGGCAATTACATAAAAATAACTATCAGAGTATGCAACTAGAGTCCTCTAGTAAGGAAAGATGAAGATACGTCGATAGCAATTAAAGTAAACTGTATACACAAGCTTAAACAAGCCATTCAGAGCGGTACTGAGAATAAATATTCCACTAAAAAAAATAACTCCTCATTGTGAAGGCGAAGAAAGTTTATTCGTACAGTGAAATCATACTATAAGAAAATTTCAAGGAAATCCGTAAGAAGAGGAAAAGCGAATGACTATAGGGAAATATTATTAATATTGGTTAGACATAGAAGCCACGACGATCGATGAGAAGATGCATCATATATTCATATGGCACAAAATCCGTATAACCCGATCAAAAATACAAAATTATTTTATCCTCATAAAACCTAAAAAAATAAAAATAAAAAAGGAAGGATGAATTCTAAATGGTACGAATATTGCGCGTAATTAAGGGGCGGTACTTATGATCCTACTAGTTCATTTAGTGTACTGTAGTAGATCAGATTTTTACCCTAAATAAAGCTTCAAGCAGAGAGCAATGGATACCAGCATACATCAAAACATCTGACACTTTAACACCATGCAAAGCAGAAGTATACTTTTTTTCCGCTAGATGGCAAAAATGCAACAACTCAGTGATAACATTTATATCCACCGAAGTCGATTGCCATAACAATGCCACCAGAGAAGTTCTTGATAATTTAGCAAATTCGCAGCATAGCTTAGTAATAAGAACTATTCCCATAATAAACTTAATTTCTCTGCATAAATGCAAATTTCGAGAGGCGAACTGGGATCAGTATCAAGCTCAATTGGAGAAAGTTATCAGACACATCAAGCCTAAGGTAGAAAACTACAAAAGATTTGCCAAACTTTCAAAGATTTGCCAAAATCAGTTGTGCTAACCCATTAAACACGGTCTAACAAAATCCTATATTCCATGCTGGACTGAAGAATGTGAAGAGCTACATGACCAATACGAACAAACTAGAGACGCAAACGTAGGTGAAAACAACTTTTAGAGTCTTTGAATTCTTTAAAAATCATCAGGTGGAAAGAAACTATCTAAAACCTTAACGTCACGCATAGCAATCGCACTGTCTGGAACCATCTTAGAAAACTGGAAACGGGTCGTAACATTCTGATAACTAACTTTTCATCACCAAGCCCAGAGATATATTGAAATGTATTAACCGGCTTCCCAAACCAGTTATAGAAAAAGTTCATAAAAGAGAAGTACGATAACAGCTCAAAAATCACATCAGCACAGCCTGCCAATCATGAGGCAAATAAATGCCGAGGAGCTTTTTAATGAACTAGGCTTAATTAACGCAAAGCTGCAGGAATTGATAAGATATTTCCCGAGTTCATAAAACACACTAGTCCAAAAACTCAAAAGTGGCTACTAGATTTCTTCAATCAAATAAAGACGACGTAAAAGCTCCATAAACTATTAAAACAAAGCAAAATCATCGCAATCTGCAAAGTAAAGACCTTTCACTACCAGATAGCTACAGACCAATCTTCGCTTTAAGTATATGCTATAAGATTTTTGAGGAGATAATCTACGTGAGGCTTTTGCCATTTGTGAGCGGAAAGTTCTTTATTTAACAACATTTATTAAAAACAGCTTAAAAAAAATGAAAACTGCAGTAGATTTCCTTGATCTAACTTGCGCCTACACCTTAAATAATTGTAACATATGGTACAGTGTCAATCATGTAGTAAGTAATCTATTAAATGAAATGCAATGGAACGAAGAAGCTAACAACAACAACCTAATATAAAATTCCACAGTAAAACCGAAGATTTCTCTCTTTCACGCCGAGAATGGTGTAATCTGAACCTAATCAGAGTAGGTCATGGCGAATGCAATAAATCACTGCTGAACAAACAGTCCACCAGATCACCCAAGAATGTCCAGTCACACGATTCGGTAGACGAATTAATTTCTGGGGCAAAAGAATTGCTCCAAAATTCTATAGAAAAACAAAGCGAGGAAAAAGAAATCGGCAATGGGCCAAAGGGACAAACAAAAATACTTTTTTTGAGGAAATTGTAAACAAAATAAAAAATTTTAACTGACATGTACAAAATGGTTGTTCAAATGCAGGTTGTGGCATAGTCGTTATTTTCAAGCACCCTGTAAAATAATTCCACAACCAAATTCTTCCAAAATACCAATTTTTGTTTACAATTATTCATTTCCTACATTTCGTTTTTTGTTTTGCGTCAAGTGCATTGATTCATCATGAGAAACATTTTTTGACGAAGCGGCTTTGCTTGTTACGCATTGTACTACTACCAACACTATCATTATTTTAAAGTGTGAAAAATTGCGCAAAAGCAGTTCCTCTTGTTAAAAATGGGCAAGAATCCTTCATGTTCATCGCTCTACCATCAAAAGAGTTTCAAACATTTTCAACGAACTGGTGGAAATAAGTTTAAGACAGGTGGTAGCAAAAAAGTAAAATTACTGCTCTTGATAACATATTTCTCCATGTTACAACTTTGCAAGATCATGATTTAACATTAGTTAAACCAGGAAGTCAAGTTTAAAAAATGCGAGGAACAAAATCTTACTGGACAGTTCGCAGATTGAAGAAGTTTGGTATGTAAAAAGCATATTGTGAAAGACCTCCATTTGCCACGGCACAGAACTTAGTGAGGTCAGCACGGAGTTGTTAATCATCGATGTATCCTTGTCAGACGGTCGCTCACGTTGTAACTTTTAGTAGATCTACTAGTGATGGTATTTTAATGCAGGATGATGTAAGCCACTTACAGCAAGGTGTGGACCCATGGAGTATGTGTGAATTTCGTATAGCCCTGCAGGATGAATGGAAAAATATTCCATTAGATGATATTCATAATCTTATGGTTGGTATTAACTGATGTATGTAGGCAATTATGAGAGTTAGACGTGGTAATACAAAATATTGAATTAAATGTGTTGCAAAAAGTAGGTACATTTCTGTTACAGTTGAATTGATCTGCATCACTAAATATACAAGTTCTTATTTATCTCTGAAAAATGGTGAAAACTACGGTGATACAACAACCTCTCAATTAACCATGTATGATGGCTAAAATTTTGAAACATTTTGAAAACGAAATATATGGTCATTAGCAGAAACCCTCCAGAAAACCCGATAATATGCACAGGTGACAATCGTATAAATCGCGTGAAAACTTTTAAATACCTTGGCACCACAATCAATGACCAATCGGATCCACAAAACGAGATAAAAACCCGAATACAAATGGCAAGACAAGCTGTTGTGAAATTCAGACCGCTCCTGTAATCAACACCTAAACTTCGAAATACGCTACAGAATGGTCAAGTGCTACATATGGTCCATCTTGCTTTATGGTATGGAAACGCGGACTTTGAAAAAAACATCAATCAACAAACTTGAAGCATTTGAAATGTGGTCATTGAGAAGAATGATGCGCATACCTTGGGTGGATAGAGTTCGAAACGATGACGTTCTTAATAGAGCCGGCGTGGAAAGAGAACTCTTTGAATTAATTAAAAAACGCAAGATTGGTTACCTTGGGCACATATTGAGAGGAGCAAAATATGAAATACCACAGTTAATCCTACAAGGGAAGATCGAAGGTAGGAGAGGAGCCGGCCGCAAACAATTATTCTGGTTAAGGAATATTAAAGAATGGACAGGAATACACAATACAGGTGAGCTGTGTCACGCCGCCAAGAACAGAATTCTAGTAATGAGATAGTCGCCTACGCACTTTGGTGTATGGCATGTTAAGAAGAAGAAGATGGCTAAAATGCAAGCACTAAAGACTCTACACGCCAGTTAAAATTGGTCATTTTGTCTAATTTTGTCGACTAAAAAATATATTTTAATTGGAAAAAATACATATCAAATTTTCGCAAATATTAACTTGTTGTTTATTAAGCATCTGAGTGTATATGTTTGAAATGTAACCCAATATATCAAGGTACCAAACAACTCGTACTGATTCATTTAGTCTATCGTACCTCTATCCTCAATTTCTTCCCTGAGTAGTCCTTCCATTTTTTGGCTTTCGGCAATATCAAGTGCCAACTGTCCATCGTTATTAACTGCCGCTACGTGAGCCCCCTTTTCGATGAGGTATTTCGCGATCGAGAGAAACCCGCAGCTGGCAGTGGCGTGCAAAGGGGTCCAACCTTCGTTGTCGCCCCTGTTGACGTCCGCCCCGTTTTCCACGAGAAACTCCACCATGTCGAGATTGTCGTCGATACATGCCTGAAAAGAAAAAAAATATTTCTTAAAATCATAATGAGACATAAAATATTGCTAAAACTATAACTACCAAAAAATAAAAAACACGCTGAAAAATCCTAATGCAGGGTAGTTCTAATACAAAAATATAGTATAATTATAGATAGGCGAGTAGCAGTAATTGGAGGCTTAGAAATATAAACAGCGATCACGACACGCGAATTGGCAATTTTGGTCATTCTTTATGTTTTCGAGGTCGGTGAATCCTAATATGAATTTTGTTTTTATGTCGAAAAGTTATTGTAAAAACACATTCAAAAATTACTAGTTTTGACAATAGTATATATTATGTATATAGAGCATTGATTTATGATTTGCCACGCTATCGAATGTTTGCAAAACTTTTAGTCACTTAAATTACACCGTAAACAAAATTAATCAAATTTCGCAATGAAATGTTTAAAAATTTACCACCCCTCATGAAATATGTTTACACATTTCGGGAAGGTCTCATTTTCATCGGAATACTTCAAAGTACAATCATGCAGTAAAGTTTTCAAAGGGATTCTTAGAGACCAAAGTTACAGCATGTTAAAGTCGAAAATTATTAAAATTTATTTTTGGAATTTTGCCTAAAATTTTATTATTGAACATTCTCAACATATTCTGCGCAAAAACAAAATTCATATTTGACCAAAACTGGTCACTCTTGTGGTGCAATTATTACGATTAGCAAGGGAAAAACTACAAGAAAACGGTAAGTTTTTTTGTCATTTACTAGCGCTTGAAAGTAAGGTTAGAATTATTTTAGAAACTGACGAGGAAGGTAACGACTCGAACACATTGGATTCTGAGAAAGACTTGTATGTACCTTCAAGTTCAGAAGATATTGATTTATCGTCTACTTCAGATGAAGATACTACTCCAAAAAAGAAGGTGCGAAAAATTGAAAAAATGAAAACAGATGTCTGAATAACGGGCCGGATATTGAAAATGTTTTGTTTGAAGACCCAATAGACAGTCAAGACAATCAAGTTACTAATGAGCAGCAATTGACGAACCCAGTTGGCAATCACCAATCAGACGAAGATACTACTACGCGAAAAAATGAAAATAGTGTTGTTCACAAAAATTATTTCTCATAATGAGACGGATATTGAAAATGTTTTGTTGGAAGACCCAGTACACACTCAAGATACTGAAATCACTAATCAGCAGCAATGGACGAACCCAATCAGGAATTAAGTACCAACGATTCAAATTTGATAATACTTTCGGTTTCAATCCAAATTATGCAGCAGCTATTTCTTTAGATTTCGGTTTAGACCGGTTTCCTGTTTTTATGCATTTCTTGACTTCAATATTATCGATTTGATGGTCGACCAAACAAACTTATATGCAACGCAACAAGTGCTTTCAATAAATGTCTCCACAAAATCAAGGTTACATGACTAGCAACCTACGAACAGGGAAGAAATGTTAAAATTTATTGGCCTACTTGGGTACATGGGCTTAGTTCGAATGCCTTCATTGTCAAATTACTGGAGTAAAGAATCTTTATTCCGTAATGATATTGCACCAAGTTCCATGAACCGAAATCGCTTTGAGCTTTTGCTTAGAATGTGGCACTTTTCTAATAACAACGTATGCGAAGAAGGAGACCACTTACACAAAATTAGGCTATTGACGAAATTGTTTATCAAAAAATATCAAGAAATTTATACTCCGATATCTTTATTTATACTCAATTTTGCATCGACGAGAGTATAATCCCGTTTCAAGGCAGACTCATCATAAAACAATATATACCCCAGAAAACACACAAATATGGTGTGAAACTATTCAAGCTGTGTTGCGGGAAAGGCTACACTTGGAACTTTCAGATATACGCTGGAAAAGAGACGGACAGGGGAGCTTCAGTTCCTACAAATGTGGTAATGAATCTTTCAAGAAATCTTCTAAATGCAGGTCGTACAATTATTACCGATAATTTTTATACAAGTTTTGAATTGGCTAACCTTCTTCTAGATAACCGTACGCATTTGCTGCAGATTTTGAGAGCAAACCGCAGAGGAAACCCTAAAGACATTCTAAGTAAAAAACTTAAAAGGGGTGAAATTTTTGGTAATGAAAATGATTCATTAATTATTTAATAAGTATTTGTATCATCAAGTGGCACGATAAGTTGATAAGGCACAATTGATTAGTCTGGCCGGATGGCCAGTTATAATTCTGCTTTGCGGCGTTCACTGAAGTGGTATCACAAGATCGCAATGGAAATCATACTGGGCACAACTATTGTAAATGCGCATATAATGTTCAAAAAACTATCTAATACAAACATTACAATAAGTAATAATATTGTCGCAAATTTACTAAAAGGGGGTTTAGAAGCTAATAGACTGCTGATGTGCCACGGCAACCGATTAAAAGAAATAGTATAAAAATCATACATTATTGAAAAAAGAAGGAGTGGCTGCTGTTGTAATAAAATATTGTAGAGGATGCTAGGAAAAGAAAGTTAGAGGAGAGATATCCAAAACTAGAGTAAAAAAGGTTACCACGTACTGTACGGACTGCGAAGATCATCTTCATTTTTGCCTTCCCTTCTTCAATGCAAAACATTTAAAAAATTAATGCATTAAATAAACATTGATTTATATGACCGCCATGGCGCGTGGGGAGAGTCGCACAAGCGGCTTATTTGACCGCTACGGCAGTGAACCTGTTAAGGGAAAAATGGTGGAAGGGACAGGGGAAGCATAATTATTGAACTAACTCGTTTATTACTAACTTTACGACATGAATGTACATAAAAAAAGTGGAGAGAATTACATTTTATAAAATTTCGATCTCTTTCATTTTTTGCTAAAATCAAGAATTAAGGTTGTAGGTTCGTTCCTTGTATGGCTTGCTTCTGATGACGACAGTGCCTAGAGTTCATTAAACGCTTGTATCTCGTTAGGCTTGTCATAGGCGTAGGACCTTAAATGTTGATTGTAGCACAAAAAATTAAAGAAATCAAAATAGTATAAAATATAATTCTCTCCATTTTTGTTTATGTAAGTATATGTATATATGTAAGTTAATAATAAACGAGATAATTCAATATTTATACTTAGTCACTACTTCCCCCCTTAGTGAGAAATTGCATTGTGAGAAATGTTAATTACAACAGTTCAAGGCTTTACCATTTTTTGGAAAAGTTAAAAATGGCCGAGATATTAAATAAAAAAAATTTTATAAAACCAATCCCCGCAAAGTCTTACGCTCCCGCCTTTACTACATACGTTCGACCTCAAATATTGATTTCAGCAAAAAAATTAAAGAGATCAAAATTGTATAAAATATAATTTTTATTTATGTAAATTTATGTCGTAATGCTATTAATAAACGAGATAATTCAATAACTATGCTCCTCCCCTTCCACTATTTTCCTTTTCAACTCATAAAATATCGACCGCACAAAAAAATTTGTAAAAAAGAAATTGTAGTAATTCGCGTTTACAACAGTTTCAGTCCTTATCGTTTTCGTAAGAATAAGACGGATTATTGATGGGAAAAAATTAAAACTGCTCAATATTAAAATTGCTACAGATTAATAATAACTTAATTGTCGAACCTCGTATTATGTTTTGTTGATACTAGTTTTTATTAACGATTGTGCCTACATCTCGAATCTATAAATACAAAATCCATAAATCGCTGCTATACATTTTGTAACATGAACATTTATTTTAATTAAAAGTCTTTCGCATTAATCTAGCACATCCACAGACAAAATGTGAGTAAATCTCTCACTGTTTCGTCTTTCAATATATCTACTTACGATCTTTCCGATCTTACAGCCAAGAATAATAATAACTTTTCAACTTACTACATTTTAAACGGGCTCGACATGTGCACTTCGCGCGCTACATTTGATGTCTGCGATCTATATGGAGATGATGGCTATTTAAGCAACAATAAAAATATAAAGTTATTTATTTTTCGAGAGTATTAGCATTTAAAGATATTCAGAAAATATCGAAAAATAATTGTACTTTAACGAATCTGAATATACCTCATTTCAGCTTTAGTTATAACCAAGTACATTAGCCACTTAATTAAACGCAAATAAAAAAATAGAATCAAAGATATAGTAAAGCTATACAGGGGAACAACTAAAATATATATCATATTTGTTAAAAGTAAAAATAGGTTTCTCGTTCAGAATGAATAAGTACATAATTTAAAAATAAAAATAATGATCCCGGCTGAACACAACAATTTATAGTTTAAAAGCAAATAAAATAAATAAGAATCTATGGTGAGACATGAACTATAAGAAACAGTTTAAAGAAAAAAAAAGGACTTAAAAGTGGTTAAATCGAATCTTGGCCTCCTCTAAACTATGCGTCAACCTTGCAGGTCCCGCGCCGATGTTCTCCAGGTTCTCACGTCTAGCAAATTGTGCGCGTCCGCTGCCACTTCATCCTCTTATCTTTTCCGTGGCCTTCCTTTTGATCTTGTGCACTGCGTTTTACTATCTAGGGCTCTTTTTGGCAATCGTTCGGTCTCCATTCTGACTACATGACTAACCCTAACCCATCGAAGTCTTTGAAGTTTAACGAATTCTGAGATCGGTGCCTCGTTGAGTTGGTATATATATTCATGGTTATACCTGGATCTCCATACTCCGTTTTCTTTAATAGGTCCAAATATCTTCCTTACGACGTTTCATTCTTTTGAAAACTTCCAGCTTCTGTTCTGTGAGACATGCTAATTTCATCGGTATAGGCGGCAATCTGTATTGATTTATTTGTTAGGAGATTACTTCTTATATTCAGCTGTCTACTATTACAGCAGGCGTCACGGATAAGATAAAGTCGACTTACTACGGTCGTTCAAAAACCGTTTTATTTGATTATGCGCTTTAAGAGAACGATTTACCTAATCATATTTTAACGGAACTTAGCGAGGTTTATAATATCCCACCCAACATTGGTACCGTGAGGAGACGTCTTATAGAACATGATTTGCAT